TCCGTTTCTAGACCCTAGGCTTTCAGTCTAGGGAATAGCCTTTCAGCTCAGGGAACAGAGTTTAAATGTACTGTAAAAACCATACAAAACTGTCCATAAAGAGCTAAAAATTACTTTTCATTTTTACACTAGAGTGCTGCTGCTGGGCCGGGCGCTGGGTTTTAAAAAAATGTCTGGTTGGGCTGAGGAATTTTTAAAAACCTGGCACCCGACCGGCCAAGCAACGAGATATAGAAAAAAACGTCAAATTCCTCAGATCATGCTCAATTGCACAAATAGGAGTTTGAATCCAATTGAGTTATAATTCACAAATGTATTCAATCGCCATGATGAGTCACCTAATCTACCCGACACTAGCAAAAATCGGCTTACTACCGAACCCTATATCCAGAATAAGAACCTAAGAAGGTTTTGATCTTGGTCTGCTAAAACTTTTTGGTTCTGAAAATTGGTACAAAACCTCCAAGATTCTTATCCTGGAAAAAGGTTCGGTAATAGACCAACTTTTTTAGAAAGCACGAACAACATTGTTCTACTTATGTTAAACAAACTTCGCAAACTGTGATAGATGCTTTCTTTAACCCGATTCTCCTGATTCACTCGTGATTTTAAGAAATTTTAGATGATTATTTTTGTTAATTGATGAAAAAAATAGGGTTTTGTATTGTGCAAAATAATTTATTATGTCAAATAAAAGCTTGAAAAGTTGATCTCATGGAGATCATCTCACTAACAAAACTATTAGCAACATTTTGACTACAATCCGGTTGGGTGCCGGGTATAGTTGTCCAGGTCCGATTCGGTTCCGAGCGGTTCCGGTTATGAAAAGTTGCACTCGCGCAGGACTCTATTTTACACTACTTTTATTAAAGTTAAAGTTTTAAAATATTATACTTTAACTTTAACTCTTAAAGTTTAAAGTTAAAGTGCATCCCTAGGTTTGACAATCAAATTTCTCATTTCACATGTATGATAAACAGTTTTTGAAACAATTATGATCAGACTTAAATATTGAGTCATTAAATATTTTAATAGTGTATGCCAATAATATTCTAGTTCCGTACAGCTATTAGCAAAGAACATAGTATCAATAGGAAAAACCAATGTTCATTCATTTTCCGTTAATAAATAATTTTGATTTTCCTCTCCTTTATGATTAGATCATCATTGAATACTTCGACAGCCAATCAATCTTTTATGTTTCAATCATCTTATCAACATCTGCTTGACTTTAAAATATAAGATGCTCTTATCGTTATCTGATTTTCTTAGCTGTTGTTGATTCATGTTTAGCAAGTTCTTTCACCACAAACAGTAAGTCGTTATCATTTATGTAGTTATACTTACAGTACTGCACAGTATTTCTCTTCAAAAACATCATAGCTATTGATCTTAGTTTTATAGTTTAATGAAACTATTTGGTGATAATATTATCGGTGGCATCTCCACTTGATTATTTTGTCTCCCAATAGTATCTGTATATCTTTCAAGTAAAAACACAAACGAACTTTCTGATCAATGGATCGATTCAGATTGGAAAAATCGAGTCGATTTATCATTAGTGAATCACTTTGTTATTATGAATTTTCGATGAATCTGTAGAAATATTTAACTATGTAAAAATGCATTGAAATGAACAACAAAAATAATACCATAAAGCTCTACTCTTTTTTCCCAATAAATATAAATTCGAAGTTTTTATTTATTTCAAAGTAATTACTTTTTTTTTACTTTACCTGTTTGGATAGAATTTATTCCGTCAATCGTAACACTTTGAGAAAGAAAAATATCGTTGGTGGCCAAAAACGACATCTTTGTATGATTGGGCAATATGTTCTCTTTCTTCCTACTTCGTCAGTTTTTGTTTTTTTTTCTTGCTGCAACCATTACTTTAAAAGCGCATTCTTCTCTTTGCTTCATTTTGGAGGTGAGTGTTTTGAATAAATATTTTTAAATTCAACTTTTCATAACACGTGACGGTGTGAATACTCATTTTCGTCGAATGTAAAAACAGAACACCAGAAATACGAGTGACTTGAAGATAAACGATGAAAATTTATTTCTAGATTGTGTGATGGCATCAGTTAGACAACAAAAACCTTGTGTTGCATGCCAAAATGGAGTAGCCACATGTAGTGGCTGCCAAAAACGCTTTTGTTTAACTCATTTTACAGAACATCGACAAGAACTCGATAAAAGAATGGGCGAAGTTGTGCATGAGCATAATCAACTACGAGAAGCTCTCGGTTCGCAAGACACTGTTCATCCTCTTCTGTCCCGCATTGAAGATTGGGAAAAAGTATCTATTCAAAAGATTAAGAATACAGTCGAGCAAGCTCGTGCAGATCTACAAGCATTCCTTGATCGTACAAAACATCGACTGGTAGATTCACTTGGTAGCATAGCTGACCAATTGAAATCAAGCCAAGCAGCAACTGTCTATACTGAAAACGAACTTGATGAATGGATGAAACAATTAGTGGAGCTACGCCAGATGTTTGAAAAGCCACAGAACATTGAAATTGTAGAGGATGAATCAAGAAGTTCATCTGTTCGTATGATCAAAGTGACGGAGAAATCCAATAGTGGAACTTGTCATACGATTAACCAAGCAATATTGCAGTCAAGACCATCAACGGCAGTAGTATCGACTGGTACGTAAAGTTCCGTCTAGATTATTGGCGTCGCTTTAAAATGCACAATTAAACGTAGTAGCAATTTAATTTTAGCATCGTGAAGGAAACTTCGCATTAGTACCTTCAAATCATACTGAGCGATTTATAGCGAGTGCGAGTGGAAACATTCGTAGATGCCTACTTCTACGAACACGCAAGAAATTCGATCGGTTTCAATAGAATATATTGGATTGATCTCAACTTGAATCTGCTGAGTAAGATTATCAACAGCTTTACTCAAGGGGGAGAAGCTGATTCTATGATTTCGGATGATTTCATTGATTCTACGTGATTCCATAATCACTATAGATCTCAGTATTATTCTGGATTTATGGATTCTCTCATCAGGGCGAACTCCATAGAATCACTAGTTCAGATGAACTCACAGAATTCCAAAAGATTTCAGGTACAAGAAAGACAGTTAAGGTAATCTCACCACCTCAAAAATCGATTTTGCTGCGGATCATTGAAGCCACTTGAAACTTGAAGAATATGTTGGGACTGTAGTGAATGAGCGATGGTAAAGTTGTGTGCTGTATACGACAATGTTTGGCAGAGATATTCACCAAGAAAGGCTCAAAAGTAGCTCATGCAGGAAGCAAAACTTCTCTATCCAGTCTCATTCTGTGCATTTTTTTGTTGGAACTGTATGTCAGGATGTAGTGCTTAGTAGAGTCTTTTTTCAATTCTTACTTTTTAAGAGAACAAAGAATCAAAAGTTCAATGAGTCCAAACTTCCACAAAAAACGGTCTCTAGCTATATTTGCCCTAACTTTTAATAAAACGAAAGCTCACTTTAAAAAATAGACTCTATTGGGTATTGTATTCTGAATTACTCTTTTCAAAAATAATGAAATGAACACAATGAACATGGATAGAGAAATATTGCTTGCTTGCGCGATCGAGAAACATGAAGTAAGAACCAGAAAAAAATATTTTATAATTTTTTTGGAATAAAATATGCGTTAAGCGGAAAATGAAGGAGTTTTCTGGAAGCAGCAAAGCACGAAATTAAAAGTCACGTGTGACAGATCTCAACACACGCTGTTCTCCCTTACGCTTCATTTGATTTTAATTTCTTGATAAAAGTTGATCATTTTTGGCTAGGACCGCCTTAACCCAGATATTGACAATCATAACATGTCAAATACAAGAAATGTTTTCTCTTTACCACCAATTGTCATGAACAAAATTATATAATTTCATTATTCATAACAACGAATCGTATATTTGAAAGGCATGTATTTAGTCGCGCAATGTTTTTTTTGGCCATTCTATAGTGTCTAATCAATATGAAAACTCCTATTATAAACAAGCGCAGTATAACACGAAATTACAAATAGTTTTCTCTAATTTTCTAAATGTGGACTATCTTCAATTAAGAATCGACGTTTTCTTCAGTTCGAATGTAAAAATCAGTGTATTTTGATCAGGGTGTAATATTGATGTTGGTTAGAAAATGATGTATGCGCACATTCTCCCTTTGCGACAACATCTAAGCGCCAGTCAATCATTTTATTGCCTCCAGCAGGCTTTTAAATTTTCTCATTATTCTAAATTCTCTAATTATATTCACTTTGTTTGATATTTGTAATTCTAAGATTAATTTTTCACTTAAATAGTTGAAAAGTCCAGAAAATTTTGTTCATGCAACAGAAAATTTCGCCGTAAAGTCAACTAGCTCCTTAAAAGATATTCTAAAATTTACTTGAATCTTGTTAAATGATAAAACTATTCGTATTATTAGGGTAGGGACTACGAAAAACTCTGAATAGTTGTTTCAGATCGATGAGATGTCCTGAATTACGAAAACCAATCAATATTGATGAGAAATATGTTGTTCGATTCCATGTGATTCCGTTGACTACAAGTGATTTTCGGCAATGAAACAGCACTCATCTATAAAATTTCAGTAATGATAGATATTGATGGGTTCTAAAACTAAAATATTAAGCTGAGGTTGACTGGCAAAGCTTATCAAAGGGGATAGTCACGATATCAGTCTTTGTGAAAATTCATTTTCGTTAACGAATTTGATCTTTTTCTACTATTTTGTAATTAGATAGTTTCATAGGTATTTTATTTGTAACAGAACTGCTCTCCAAGCTCATCCAAAAATTAAGTTTCTAAATCAGATAAAATGAGCTTCGACTTGTACATAAAAGAAGGATAAAAATAAGCAATTTTGTGAAGAATTCAAATTTTGATCTGATGTTATAGATTTCAAAATTTTTAAAAACGATTACTAGGTCGAATTTGAAATTATAAAATATGGTACAGTGAAACCTGTCTAATGTGAACACTGTCGAGACCAACGAAAAGCGTTCAGTATAACAGGGTGTTCATAAATGAGGGGGACAAGCAAAGTTGAATAATTACATGAGTTTGATAATTTCCCTTACCTTCTTCTTCCTTATTAATAACAAGAGATCTGTCGGGCATCAACTTGTAGTAGAGACCCGTCTCATCACAATTATAAATGTCAACAGGATTGTACTGTTCCAGAATTGTCGATAAACGCGCTCTCCAGTCGGATACTGTATCTTGATCAACGGATGCTCCTTCACCAGATATCATCCTGAAATGAACATTATAACGAACTCTAAATCTTTCCAACCACCCATTGCTGGCCTTAAATCCCGATTCATCACCTAATTCTTGAGCAGCTTTGCGAGCATAAGCTTGCAGCAGTGGTCCTGAAACAGGAATTCTTTTTGCTCTCTGAGCAGTAAACCATTCATAAACCAATTGATTAATTGATTGACTGAAATCGCTGCAAGTTTTCCGTTTAATCTTTTTATTTAGATTAGTTTCATAATCATTTAAATATTCACTTTTTCTTTTAATAACATTCGATACAGCTCCGATGGATACTTTAAATTTATCGCATAAACCACGATAAGATGAACCACCTTCATTTTGTTTAATTAAATTAATCTTCTGTTCCAACGTAAGATCATTACGAGTAGGCATACTTGAAACAATGGTTGAACGTGCTTCCATCTAATACAAAGGCTTTTATTATCTTTTTTCTCTCTCTCTTGGATACGTCGTTCTCTCTCTCTCTCTGTTCGATTAGAATAAATCATGCATCCAATGAACTACATAACAGTAGCCTCTTGATTTTCCAATCGCATGATTTCTTATTGTAACGCCCTCTATTTTTGTTCACATTAATAAGGTTAGAGTGTACAATTAAGACTGAAAAATGCGTTCACATTCAGAATCACGAGGTGTTCATAACAGAGGGGTACAAAACCAGTAAAATTCGCTCGGGGGGACCGGAGGGTGTTCAGTTTAACCGGTTGTTCATTAAAGAGGGGTGTTCACAAAGCGAGGTTTCACTGTATTTATATTGTTGAATTATCTGTACAAATCTAGCTACGTATATATTTTACAGACAAATCGAAAGTAGTTCTATAATAAATCTCATACTTTATCATTTAACTAGTAGAAGAAGAAAAAGA